TTTCAATGTAAAAATAAAAAATAAAAAAAAGTTATTTTTGACAGATTTTAGAAAAACAAGATTTTCCGTTCCATTTTAAAATACTTTTTGTGAACATCTTTAGACAAATTATTGACATAGTTTCATTGTCTAGGGAGTTCCATAGCGAGGTTGCCCTATATAAGTTACTTTTTATGAACTTATATTTAGAGACTATGGGTGGGAGTACTAATTTTTTACTACATTGAAGACTTAACGGCAGGGATTTTTCGATAAAAAGATCTAACATAAAATCTGGATTTAAACCATTTATAGATTTAAAAACTTCAGTTAACAAAAACCTTAAATTTCTAAGGTGAATACTTGGGATGTTTTCTATTTTTTGACATTCTTCTAATGGGAGATCAAATCTTTTATAGACAATGCGAAGTCCTTTTTCATGAATTTTATTAATTAGGTTATTATTATACTTCGAACAAAACATCCAAATCAAAGGACAATAGGAAAAATTTGACAGTATAAAAGCATTGATTAAAACAGTAGCTTGTTTTACTGATAAGAAGCTCCTTATTCGTGCAAGAGCAAAGCATTTACCATTCTCTTTTCCACACAGACTTTTAATATGATCATCAAATTTCAAATCCTTATCAATTGTAACCCTGAGAAGTTTAACCTTAGAGAAAACCATGATTTTTACATTTCCAACCATTAAAAATTGATCTTTACAATTTTTTAAGCCAGCTAAAAAAAATTGAAATTTGTCCGGATTTGCAACCATTTTATTCAAAGTAAACCATGAAATCACGTTTGATGTTTCTATTTGAAGATGAGCAATAACACTCTCTAGGTTTTTGTCACAAACAGAAATAGTGTTGTCATCAGCATAGTTGCAGATTTCAGAGTCTTTTATAAATAAGAAAAAATCCTTGATAAAAATATTAAAGAAAATTGGTCCCAAAATTGAGCCTTGAGGTACACCAGATTCCATATCTAAATATTCAGAAAATGACGATCCTAGTCTTACTCTCTGTTTGCGAGCAGAAAGGTAAGATAATAAAAGTTTGAGACTATCGTAAGAAAAAACCATAATTTTCTAACTTAGCTATAATCGAATCATGTGGAATTAAATTGTATGCCTTTGATAAATCCATAAGCATAGCGCCAACTTTACCTCCTTTATCCAAGCATTCTTGCGACTTATTAACAAAATTAAAAAGTGCATGCTGTGCACTATACCCTCTCCGAAATCCACACAGCAATTTGTTAAAGCTTGGCTCTATAAAAACCCATATTTGCTCGTAAATAACGATTTCAATTTATATATATATATATATATATATATATATATATATATATATATATATATATATATATATATATATATATATATATATATATATATATATATATATGTATATATATATATATATCTATATATTTATTTATATATATATATATATATATATATATATATATATATTTATATATATATATATATATATATATATATATATATATATATATATATATATATATATATATATATATATATATATATATATATATATATATATATATATATATATATATATATATAACATCTTTACTTCCAGCAAGGCTGCAAGTATCATCTTTTAGAGCACTGGAAGAGAAAAGATGAAGTTTATAAAGCAACATAACAATTAACAGAATATTATATGAATCAGGAAAACAAAAACAAGGGAGCAAATTGCAAGGATTAAGTGTTTTTGGAGCACTTAGGAACAGTCACAGTAGAAGGATGAGACCTAATTGAAATAAATATTATATTTGGGCACTAACTCATTAGAGCTGCACCCATTTTAGTATTTATAGAAAAGAGAAAGAGAAGCAACATTAGGGTGATGTGGCAATAGTTGAAGGTTGGCTGCAAGAGCTGGTCCAACTATGTTTACAATGCGTTTTGAACCTTGTCTATAAGAGAAAGAGCATCATATGAAGATCCACTCCAGATATGGCAACAGTATTCCATATAAGGAGAGATTTGCAATTTATAGAGTTAACGAATAGAATCTGGTAAAATACAATCTTAGCAGATGCTAATTTTGAAAATGAATTTTTCTTAGAAGAAAAATGGTACTCATCGAGTACATTACTATTCATAAATATAGGAAAATCTAAATAAATATAGAATAAATGGTAGTATCATCAGCGAACAATACCATCTTAGATGTGAGAATTTCAGGAAGATTGTGAATGTAAACAGGGCTGGCGCAAGTAGGTGTCACGTGTGGGGGGGTCTGCCATTACAACTTTTGCTGACTAAAAAATAAAAAAAGTTTCCATTGTGCCGGCCTTGAATGTAAATTAAAAAAAGTATTGGACCAAGGATAGAACCTTGAGGAACCCCTGATATTACAAGAAATGAAGAAAGGTGTTGTCCATCAAAGGCATTATACTACAATTGGAAAGAAAGGATTCAATAATCTCTCAGATGTTACATGATACACTGTGAGAAGAGAGCATGTGTGAGCAACTGTGGATAAGACCAGCATGCCAAACTTTATCAAAGGCTTTAGAAATATTGAGTGCCATATCCTCAGCCTCTCAACATCTATCTAATGCACAATAAAACCTATTAGTTATTACCATTAACAAATCAGCAACAATAATTAACAAATCAGAACGAGAATATTAAAATCCATATTGCTGATCAAAAATATTTTTTTGAACAAAAAGTATTTTTTGGAGGTGCCTCAAGACCCTTGATTATTTTAAGGGTCCCTAATATATATATAAAAAAAGTTTGACTAAAGTAGGTTATACTGGTACTCAAAATAAGCAAAATTATATAAAAGTTTCAAAAAAAAAATTATTTCGTATGAAAACTTATATTTACATTTTTTTGAAAAACTTTATATTTTTAACTAAAAATAAAAAATGTGCATTTTTACAAGTTTTCAAAATTTTTTTTTCTTTAAAGGAATCCCAAACCTCCAAGACATGTTGTCTTCATATTAAAGAAAATTATAAAAAAAAATGTTTGGGCTAATTTTTTTAGATTAAAACAAAAGAATAAATGATTAACAAAAAAAACTAACTTTTTTATTTTAGTCGAAGCTCGCCTTCTCCATTTTATTGTAGGCCTAAAAGTCATCATAATGTACCCTGCAATCTACAGACATGATAATTTATTCAAGCGCGTTTTATTTCTATGAGTTTCGCTATACTATGTCATTGATTTTTTTTGTTTGCGAAAGAGATCGATTATGTAAACAAACTGTAGATTGTGGCGTATATTATGCTAACTTTTAGACAATAAAATGGAGAACACGAGCTTCAACTAAAATAAAAAAGTTAGTTTTTCTTGGTATTCATTTATTCTTTTGTTTTAATCAAAAAATTTTAGCCCCAATTTTTTTTATTATTATTCTCTTTAATATGAACACAAGATGTCTTGGAGGTTTGGGATCCCCTTAATATGTTTTTTATAAAACAAATATGAAACTTATATAATTATACTTAATATAAATTTTGAAACTTTTTCATAATTTTACTTTTTTTGAGTAGGTTGTTACCAGGTTGACCTAATTTTGAAGAACTTTTTTTACATATATAAACATTTAAATGTTCAAGGGTCTAGGAATATGACTAAAAATATTTTTTGTTTGCAAAATATTTAAATCAAGTGTTCTTTTATTATAAAAAATTTAGAACTCAGTTAAGGCAATTTTTAATATATACTTCAAATTCATTGGGTAACCCAATGAGTATTTTAATTCTAATTGTGTTCGAATATACTGACTATTTATTTTGATTAAACTAATTTTTCTAAACATACTAAAATTATTTAGTTAATATTACTTTTATTTTATTAAAAACATTTTTTTTAGAAAGTGAATGTACAAGGAGTTAAGTATGAGTATATTTAAGGTCTCAGTCATTACTTACACATCATAAATAAAATTGAAATAAGTAATTTTTTGAATAGCAACGTTTATAAAACTAATAACTACATCTGTTGTAAAATGTAATCCATATTGATGTGGATACTTCTTGAACTTTTCTTTTTGAACCTGTGAAAATGGTTAATCATCTAAATATTATTTTATTTTTTAATTTGCAAATAAAAAAAGGAAAGAAGTAAGTTTATACTTAAACAGACTTCCCAAACTAAAGTTTCCTGATTGAGTTCTCCATCATTTTAGTTTTATAAACAATTTATAAAATGTTTAAAAAACCCCTAAAGAATATCATGCTAATTAAAATTTAACCTGCACTACTCTGGTTCTAACCAGCTCATATATTTGGTATGATAATTGGTTTCTGCAATCTAATAAAATTTTAAATCGATTATATGCAAAATAAGTTATGTACTTTTAACTCAAAAATGCCATTTAGGGTGACACATAAAAATTGCTTTTTTGTATTGAGATGGTCAATACAATTTTTGTTTAAATTTAACAAAAATAACAAATAACTTTTTATTCTAATACCAAAAAATCTCACTCTACTTTATAAATTTTGCACAAATAAATATTTTGCTAACAAAGAAATTATTTAATTAAAAAATAAATATTTTGCTAACAAAGAAGTTATTAAAACTGCTAAAAGTAAGTAGTCTCCAGCATTATTAAAAGTAAGTAAAAATTGTTTGGTTTGAATACATTAAAAAAATGTAAAATAACGATACATTTTACTTTATTTCAATTTATATTTCAAATTTTACTATAAAAGATGTATAAGTTCGAAAATAAAATCAATATAATAACACAAATAAACCACAATAAATAAAATAATCATTTTATATAAAAAAAAAATATGTAAAAGAAAACTATATACTTTTTTTGTATTATGTGCTTTAAATAAGGTTTTCTCTGTCAATGGGATTTTTTTGAAAATATGTTCTTTATGCCTTTCTATTTTTTTTTGTGTATGATTTTTTTAGAGAGGTAGGTCTTTCAAACTGTATGTTGTATGGTTTTTTTTGGAGGGGTAGGTCTTTCAAACTGTATTTTGTATGGTTTTTTGTACGCTTGTAGCAATAAAGCCAACTCCTACTATCACTCAAGAGTTAAAGCAAGAAACTTCTGTCCCTTCTTCTTCAGATGCTGTAAAATTGAATGATGCTCCTCCTGCACCTGTTACTATAATGGATGCTTTATTGCAGCGTCTTGAAAAATACCAATCTTCTTTAAAAAGTGCTGAAGAGGAGAACAATTCTGGTAAAGCACGAAGAATGGGGAGAATCGTCAAGGTAATTTTTGTTTTTAATATTTACTTATATTTATGTGAAAATTTTATAAAAAGTTTTATTATGCTTGGCAATTTTTAATGATTAATAGAAAACAGTTATCTTACTTTTATCTTTATCTTTAAGTTTAAGTAATTAAGGAGCAATTTTTAGGAAGTTAATATTAAAAATTTATTTCAATCAATTCTATTTATAATCAGTTCTATTTACAATCAGTTCTGGGAAAATCAAAAGATTCTGATATACTTTTTAGTAATCTTACCTACAGAATTTTTTATTTTTATTTTTTAATTATGATTGACTCTCAACAAGGCTGCAAGCAACCATTACTAAATTGGGGGTTACTGGAAAACAAAAAATAGTGTCAAAGAGCAAGAAAACAGTTGACGGAAGACTTGAAAAATTGCAGGTTGTTTGAGTCAGGAAAATATGAAGATAAAAAAGAGAGTTCCAAAAAGTTAAAGTGTGAGGCAAAAACTGGATGCATTAAAGTTTTTAGACCATGCAGGGGCAGATACAGTAAATAGTCATGGACAGAAAAGGCGTGCAATTGCACTCGAATCCTGACCACACATATAATTATTATTTTTGAAACCACGACTCTTTAAATGTTTAAAATCGCGCAACAAAAGACAAAAAAAATTAAAAACAAGCTCAACTATATAAAAAAAAGAAAAAAATCTTATCGAAAGAAAAATAAATAAAAATTAAAACCAATAGCTCTAAAACAAAAATCAACTAATATAAAATCTGAAAAACTAAAACTCTAAAAGAAAATTATTTTTAGCTTATGTTTCTATTATATTATGTTTATAATTAATGGTCATTTAATAAAAAACAAACTTATTTAAATTATCAAAAAGTATTATATAATAGTGAGTAAATTATAATAAATAGCATTCTATATGTGAGCACGTTATTTGTATGTGAGTACAAATAATAAACCCAAAGTAAAAATAGTATTAATCGATAAAAGTTTAAATATTATAATTACACACTTGAAAGTTATCAAACATGATATATAATGCAAGCACAGAGTTTAGTGTAAATTTTGAGCTTGAATATTTTTATATGAACTTTTATTTAGAAAGTTTTCAATTTCGGAAATAGTTTTAGGTATTTAAACTATTGTGATGCATTGTAACATCGCAACAGCATTATAGTATTGATGAAAGCAGCATTTTTTATAGTATATAATCATTAAAAGCAAATTGCCTCTTTATTACCAGTATCACACTTTCAAAAATTTACAAATCCGTGGTCAAGCTTTAAATAAATGCGTGGTATACATATATATGTATATACACATGTATATGTATATACATATGTATATATATACTTATATATATATACTTATGTATATATAAATACATAAGTGCAAAATATATATACTTATATATATATATACTTATGTATATATACATACATAAGTGCAAAATATATATACTTATATATATATATACTTATGTATATATACATACATAAGTGCAAAATATATATACTTATATATATATATACTTATGTATATATATATACATAAGTGCAAAATATATATACTTATATATATATACTTATGTATATATACATACATAAGTGCAAAAGCAGAATAGTAACAATCTCATTATCTCTATCAATTGCAATTTTAAATTGTTAACTACCTTGATTTAACTTTTATTCCTATTCAAAATTCATTCTAACCATACTGCAAGCCTGATAATAAACTAAGTTATGTACATGCTAATTGAAACCATCCACCTAAAATAATAAATATTCTTCCAAAAATATTGAGCTAAGATTGTCCGCCAACTCATCAAGTGAAGTTATTTTTAATAAATCGATACCTCTTTATAAAGATGCATTAAAGCAATCGGGATACACTTATAAGCTGGCATATAAACCAAGTATAAAAAATGCTATGAATAATAACCATCAACCAAATAATGCTATGAATAATAACCATCAACCAAATAAAAATCAAACAAAACATAATCTGGTGCAAGCCCCCATTCAGTAAAAATGTTGCAACCAAAATTGGTCAATTCTTTTTAACCCCAATTGACAAGCATTTTCCTAAAAACCATTAACTACACAAAATATTTAACAGAAATACAATTAGGATAAGCTACTCCTGCATGCTAAATATTAAATCCATAATCAACTCAAACAACAAAAATATTTTATATAACGATGTAAAGTTATCAGAAAAAACCAGCAATTGCATTAATTAAAAAAAGGCACAAAAATAAATTTCTCCTTTCATTATTTGATAGCAAAGATTAGTTTTTCATAACGTCTTTTTTTATTTTATAAGGTCAGAACTCATTCAACTGTAATTTGTAATTTTCAAACGGTTTTTTTATATTTTGATTTTATACTTCATGACTGGCGATTGTCAATAGGCATGAAACTTTAAGTTTTATAAAAAGTTGTTTTTTCTAAATTTTAATTATAAATTGCTCTGTTTTTGAAAATATATTTATTTTTTAAATATTGATCACTCTGCTACGATCAAGAGTTTAGTGTTTTAAATACTATATCAAACAACAACAATATATATATATATATATATATATATATATATATATATATATATATATATATATATATATATTATATATATATATATATATATTATATATATATATATATTATATATATATATATATTATATATATATATATTATATATATATATATTATATATATATATATATATATATATATATATATATATATATATATATATATATATATATATATATATATATATATATATATATATATATATATATATATATATATATATATATATATATATATATATATATTCAATGAAAATCTTCACCTGATGATTGCAACAGCATGAAACTTAAAGTTGTGAAAATCACGTAGTTTTATTTTCTACTTTCTAATAATATATATATATATATATATATATATATATATATATATATATATATATATATATATATATATATATATATATATATATATATATATATATATATATATATATATATATATATATATATATATATATATATATATATACATATATATATATATATATATATATATATATATATATATATATATATATATATATATATATATATATATATATATATATATATATATATATATATATATATATATATATATATATATATATATATATACGGGGTGTTAACCAGGAACAAATTTGATACAGCATTTTAACAAAATTGGGAGTTTGTCAAAATATTTCCAAAACATCCTTCTCCCCTCCTTTGCTGAGATTAAAATGTGTTCTGGGAATGTGTGAGATCCTTTTTTTATACTCTTTCTTCTTCTACTCCACTTCACTGCTGTATACATTGATTGGACAGCGCCAAAAATAAAATAAAATACCACCTGTAACATTAATGATAAATATATGAAATCAACACAAAATTAAATGTGGTTTCATAACAACACAGCAAATTAAGCTCTTATTTCCAAACATATATTAGGAACTATATATTTTTCTATTATAAAATAATCAGTGTATATTAATTAATTATTATAAAGAATAATATATTTGATTTATTTTTAGTCTTAATATATCGTTGCCGCTTTTATTTCAAGAGTATTCTTTTGAAAGTATATTTCTTTTTCACTGTAATATAGTAATATAGCAATTTATATTCAATGAAAATCTTCGCGGAAGAGAGCCAATGATTTTCTACTTCTAATTATTATTTAAATTCTGCTTAACGTATTTTACGGACGAACCCTTACATCATCATATAATAAACTGTGTCATCAAAATAAATGTTTTAAAAATAGAGGTTTTGAAAATAGTAAAAAGGAGCTCGTAAGTTTTATATTTCACATTTATTGCAAGTTCAATTTTATAATTAATAATAATTTTCTATATACATAAACTGCATAGCGAAATAAAGTTATAATTACAGTCTCAGCAAAAACAACAATAAATGTCCTTTAATTATAGAAGAATATTGATCACAAGTGATTGCACGCATGGCAATGAAGAATACTTTTTTTCAAATTAAAAGTCGTTAGGTACTACAAAATGCAAAAGTTATGTGAATTTTGTTTGTTCTTTAAAGTTTGGATAAAAGAAATTTTTTGCATATTGAAAGAAGTTGTAAATTTGTTGTTAGTTATCAAATTAATTGAAACGCCATCTGTAGCTAGATCAGCTACAATTTCTTTAAGGCTCTTTTTTTGTAAATAACTGTCCATTGTTTTAATTTTTTTTCCGGTGGTAGATTTGAGTTGCTGCTTGATTCGCCAGTCAAAGGACTATTGATAGTAATTCCATGACATAAAATATGATTACACAAAGTAGTTGTTGGTTCCACCAAAGCATACTTTTGCCTAAAAAAAAGTAGCATGGATGCCTAAAATAGTGCCTTAAAACATTTATTCTTTATTGCTATATCTAATTGTAATCATTTTTTTCATCTTTTTTAAAATAACAATTCTCTTGAGAACAAACAGCTATTTATTATTGCAAGAAATCAATGCTAAGCTCCATTTTTCTCATATTCAAATCACTCCAGCTTCCGCTGCTAAAGTCATATCTTGATAAACTCTTCTACAGCTTGTGGTCCAAACAACATTCCTCTCACAATCTTACAAAATTGTTCTCCAGAACTCTCTTCAACTTTCTTTAAACTATTTTATAAGTGCTTGACTGAGTCTTGTTTTCCTGTCTGTTGGAAAATGGCATCTGTTGTTCCAATTTTTAAAAACTCTGATGAACATTCTGACCCTTGTTTTTTATTTTTAATTATTGTCCAATCAGTCTTCTTTCTGTTATTAGTAAGGTCTTTGAGTCTTTGATAAACAAATTCCTCACATCTCGTCTTGAGTCAAATAACTTACTGTCGGACAATCAATATGGTTTTTGATCCTCTCGCTCTATGGCTGACTTGCTAGCTGCTGTGACTGAAAGATTTTATTATGCATTAGATGGAGGTGGAGAGGCTAAGGCTATTGCTCTTGACATGTCTAAGGCTTTCGACAAAGTTTGACATGTTGGTCTTCTTCATAAGCTTGTATCGTATGGTGTATCTATCTCTTTCTAACTGCATTATTAAAGTCATCCTCGAAGAACAACACTTTTCTTTATTTCCAGTAACTTCTGGGGTACCTCAAGGTTCTATTCTTGGTCCTATTTTATTTTTTATCTACATTAATGATCTTCCTGACAACCTTACATCTAAAGTAACTGTTTTTGCTGATGACTCAACTTTATACTCCTGTCTTGACAAAAAGTCTTCTCTTTTCAATCGCTTAGAACAGGCTGCTGATCTTGAATCTGATCTCACTTCTGTAACAAATTGGGGCTCACAGTGGCTTGTAAATTTTAACTCCAACAAAACCCAGTTATTTACTGCTAACAACTATTGCAGTACTGTTGATATTCCTATATTAATGGCAACCTTCTCACTGAGTCCTCTTTTTTATGTCTTCTTTGATTATCATTTACTACTGACCTTACATGGAAACCATATATACAATCGATTGCTAAATTAACAATCTGCTAAGTTTGCTTTCCTTTATCGTGCTTGCAATTTTCTCTTCCCTGATTCCATTCTCTACCTCTACAAATCTCTTGTTCGTCCCTGTATGGATTACTGTTGTCATATTTGGGCTGGTTCTTCTAATGATGTTCTTTCTATTCTAGACAAGGTCCGAAAATGCATTGTAAACGTAGTTGGATTTGGTCTATCTGCTAAGCTTGAGCCTCTTTCCCATTGTCGTAAAATTGCTTTTGTTTCTCTTTTCTACAAATACTATCATAGCCGCTGCTCAAAGGAGCTTTCATCTCTAGTTCCATTAACCAAAACTCATTCTCGCTTGACTCATCATCCATCAAAGTCTCATACTTTTACTGTAACTGTCCCTGCATGCTCCAAAAGCTTTTACTTGTTTAACTTTTCCCCCCGTACTTCAACCCTTTAGAACTCTCTTCTATCTTTATGTTTTCCTGACTTATGCAACCTTCAACTTTTTAAGTCTTCTGTCAACTGTTTCCTTGCTCTATAATTCTATTCTTTTTTTTAGTAACTCCCAACTTAATATTGGTTGGGTGCAGCCATGTTGGGAGCAAAGCAGAATTAGGAATAAAAAAAAAATGTATTCAAAGAAATGCCTTTTACAACCTTATTTTCAAAGTGATATTTAAATATCATAGTTGCGGCATCAGTTTTAACTACGAAGGAAGAACAACCATTTGGTTTGGGCAGGCCATCTATCAATTAAAAAAATTGTTTCAAAGTTTTTTAAACATTTTCTGATCTTCTAGAATAATTTTTTCTTAAAACATAAAGTTTTTATGATAAAAAATCATGACCATGCAAGAGTATATATATATGTATGTATACACACACACACACACACACACACACACACACACACACACACACACACACACACACAAACACACACACACACATATATATATGTATATATGTATATATATATGTGTGTATATATATACATTTATATATATATACATGTATATATATATGTATGTATATATATACTGTTTAATCCATAAAGACTCATCAGAAATCATATATATATATATATATATATATATATATATATATATATATATATATATATATATATATATATATATATATATATATATATATATATATATATATATATATATATATATATATATATATATGTATATATATGTATATATATATATGTATATATATATATGTATATATATATGTATTTATATTTGTATATATATGTATATATATGTATATATTTGTGTATATATATATATATATATATATATATATATATATATATATATATATATATATATATATATATATCTATATATGTATATATACATATACACACTCATTAACACGTAACAATATATTAATCTCATTTATTTTAGCAATATAAAGATGCCATAGAAAACTTCAAAAAAAACATACCTATAGATTACAATGAGTTACCTGTTCCACCTGGTAAGTTTGTATTTTTTGAAACTAAATTTTGTCAGTTCATAAAAAACTACTACTATTATTGTTTGTTGATATCTTGAAAAATAATTCTTGGAAAGAAGTCTTGACAATTCAATTTTTTAATAAAATATTTTTATTTCACTTTTGTTTTTTGCAAAGAAAAATGTTATTTCTTTTATAGTGAAATAAAAAAGAATGAATAAATAAATTTTTCTAAATTTTTTACTTTTTTATTTTTATTTTTTACTTTTTTATTTCAGCAAATTCCTATTCTATTATTACAACATCTAGTTTACTTTAGCAAGAAACACTTTTGTGTTTGTATACATATTTAAACTTGAATTTTCTACTAGCTACTTTTAGTTTATTTAATAATGAATAAACTATGTTACATAAAAAAATAATAAAATAAAAAAAAAGATAAAAGATAAATAAAGGGAAAGATGAATTGGTTACATATATAATTTCCATAAGAGGTCAGTAGTAAAAGATGATCCAAGAAAACATAATATAGAGCATCATATTGCTTATTGCAAACAATGCTTGACAAGGCTTTCAACAAATTTTAAACAAGTTTAAACAAAACATCTCCAACTATTGTCCAGTCTTTTATTCAACTATTGTCCAGTCTTTTATTCAACTATTGTCCAGTCTTTTATTCAACTATTGTCCAGTCTTTTTTCATAATTATCAAGGTCTTTGAGTCTTTAATCAACAAATTTCTAACATTCCATCTTGAGTCTAATAATTTAGTTTCTGACAATCAATATGGCTTTCGATCTTCTTATTCTACAGCTGAATTGCTAACTGACTGAAAGTTTCTATTGTGTATTAGATAGAGGCTGTAAGTCAAGGGCTATTGTACTTGACACATCAAATGTTTTCAATAAAGTTTGGCACGCTGGTCTTCTCTATAAGCTTGCTTCATAAGGTGTATCTGGGAAAGTTTTTTGAAATTATCAAATCATTTCTTTCTAACCACAGTATTAAAGTCATTCTCAAATGTCACCTTTCTAATTCATTTCTAGTAACTTCTGGGCTACCTCAAGGTTTTATACTTGGTCCTGTATTGTTTCTTATTTATGTTAATGATATTCCTGACATAGAGTGGCTTTATTTGCTGGCAACTTTACTTATACTTGTGTCTTGATAAAAAGTCTTCTCTTTTTGATTGTTTACAACAGGCAGCTGATCTTGAATCCAATCTCATTTCTGTAACAGCTTAAGACTTGCTTGTGAATTTTAACTCCAACAAAACTCAAGTATTTACTGCAAACAACTATCGCAATACTGTCGACATTGCTATATTAATGAATGGCCACAACCTCACCAAATCCTTTTCTTTAAGTTTTTTCTAGATTATGTTTCACTACTGACATCTCATGGAAACCATATATACAATCTGTTACAAAGTTAGTATCTGTTTTCTTGCTTCTCTTTATCTTGCTTTCCATAATCATATTCCTGATTCCATTTCTCTACTTCTACAAATCTTCTATTTTTTCCTGTTTTACTGTTGTCATATTTGGGTTGATTTTTCTGATGAGGCTCTTTCTTATAAAAGTTTAAAAATAATTTTAAAATGAAAAAGAATTAATCTTTTTCATTTTAAAACTATTTATATTTATAAGTTATAATTTTTTTTAACATAAAAAATAATTTAAAAATTTTTAAGCATTTTTAAAAATATTAATTTTGTTGATTTATAAGTTTTGTTAATATAATTTTATATTATGTACGTAGGTTTTGCACCTATACCTGGTGTTGCACCTATACCTGGTGTTGCACCTATACCTGGTGTTGCAACTTCTGTGGAAGAGCTGTCTACTCCTCAGGTAATATTTAAAAAAAAAAATTTTTTTTTGGCGTTATCATTCAAGGAACATTTTTGTTTCAAAATGGTTATCACAACAAGGAACATTTTAGTTTCAAAATACTTTTTTAACATAACATCTATTAATATATTATGTAATTTCCAATAAAAAACAGAAATCCTAAAATTTAGTAATAATTCTAATTTAAAAATTTGTTATCACTTTATAAGTTCTTTTTTGCTGTGATAATAACAATAAAATCAGTGACTTATTAAGCTAAAGAAAAAAAGTTTGTGGAATCTTACTGTGCAAAATTATTATTATCTGACAAGTCTTTAACTTGATACATTAGAAACCTAAACAGCCTTAAACTTAATACATAAGAAACCTAAATAGAAATTTTTAATGTTTAAAACAATAAAAGAAGAAACCAGAGACTAATAATATGTTATAGTTAAATCGTTAAAGAAAGGACTGGTAATGAAAAATTACTAATCTGATTGATGTAGTTAATTCTTATAAACAAAGTTCTAATTTAGGAACACCATTTTTCATTATCTTTAACAATGAAATATATTAATATGACCTATTAGAAATACATCTTGTCTTGTTCACTAAAATGTTTATATATTTTTTTTATAACTATATGCTGCATGGTTGCAGCTTTTTTAATATTTTATTTTTATATCATAATTTAGTTGCCTGCACCCCACAATGACAATCAAATGACCCCTCAATGTCAATCAAGTTTGCCTGAAGCAGCTCCAACTTTTCGTAATCAAAAAGAGTATGAATTTTTAGTTAATCGTCAGAAAGAATTCAAAATGGCAGCTTTAAATGCTAAAAAAGAAGGAGATATTGAATCTGCAAGAGAATATCTAAAGCAAGCAAAAGAATATCTAAAGCAAGCAAAAGTATAGTAATATTTTTATAAGTAAACAATAAAAAATACATTTTGTTTGTTGTTTAGAAAATGTTTATGAAACTGTTTAAAAAATATTTTGTGGTTTTTTTTTCTCTCTAGGGTCTTGATCAGATGGTCATTGCTGCGCAAAATGGATTGAGAGTTGATGTAACAACTGTATGTGTGTAATTTTTGATGTATTTTTTAATATTTTCTATGATAAATAGAAATTACTTTTAAATAGACATTAAAATATAAATATAAGACATTATTCTGTATATTTATGAAAATTTGTTCAAATTAAACTTAGTTTATAGTTGTGTTTATTTCATAAAAAATATTTATAAAGTTATTTAAGTTTAGAATAAACCAAGATTGTATTATTCAGCCATTTTGTTTTTAAGTATTAAAAATCTGATTAAATTGTAATAGTGATGTTTATCTTTAAATTTATATTGAAAAATTATTAAAAGAGGCTTATAAAAGAATGTTTAAGCTAATATAATAAATAGTTTTGTAATTAAAATATAAAATTGTTATATAAAAATATAAAATGTTGTAATGTTGCATGACCTTTACTACAAATACTAGCACGGTTAAATAGGCTATTTTCTCTAGTTCCTGACAAAATTCATTTGCATATATATGATTTATCATTTGCTAAGTTACATCATTTTTGTGCGCAAAATATATGTAATAATCTTTTTTTTCTGCATACATTAGTACTTTGAAATTCTCTTCCTTCATTATGTTTTCCTTATTCGTATAACTTGTAACATTTCAATGTTAATTCTGTTAATTAAAGAACATAAAAGCAGCTTCTTGTACTTTAATTGTTTGTAAAATTATTATGTGTGCTGTTTAACCTCAATTATAAAATCTTGGTCAAACTTGAAAATAGCATTTAAATATCTTTAAATGGTCGCTGCAAAACAAAACTATCTTAAGTCCATTTTTGGCAAAATTGACTTTTTTGGTTTAAAATACTCCTAAGGTGCACAAAAGTCATCTCACAAAGTGTGGAACCAAAAATGATTCAACTTTTGCAACTATTATTAAAACTTAAATATCTTATGTCCTAAAAAAAATAATTAAGAGACATCGTTGCTGTACAACAAATCTTAAGTCCATTTTTTGGCAAGAAAAAAAACTTTTTTGGTTTAAAATACTTAACACATAAAATAAATAACTAAAAACAAGTAGATATAAAAATAGTAGTATTTAAAAAAATCAGAAGCAGTAATTAAATTTAAAACTTTAAATGTCTTTTTCTCAGAACAGCAAAACGGAGCTAATATTGTCTTGTTTTGCAGCAGCAATTTAATTTGTAGAATTTTGACATATTTTATATAGTTTTTCAAGTCAATTTGCTTCTTATGAACTTGTTGCTTTTTAAGCCTAAAATTTTAATAAGCTTAAAATTTTATTTTTTATTTGTTATATTATGAAAAATAATAACATATTCTATAAGTATTTTAAAAACAATTTAGTTTAATAAAGAGAAGATCAAAGCAGTGATGAATTAAAAACTTTAAATGCGTTTTTCTCAGAACAGCAAAAATAAGCTTAAAATTTTATTTTTTATTTGTTATATTATGAAAAATAATAACATATTCTATAAGTATTTTAAAAACAATTTAGTTTAATGGAGAAGATCAAAGCAGTGATGAATTAAAAACTTTAAATGCGTTTTTCTCAGAACAGCAAAAATAGACTTGAGTCTTGTTTTGCAACAATGAAATATTGATATTTATGTTTAGAACGTGAGTTACAGCATGAAGCAATATTCTACATAAGATTTCTATTCTATTCAAAAATAATAAAAGTGTTTATTTGTCACATAATATTTTTAATTCCAACATTTGTTCGGAATTAAAAATTCTGAACAAATATTGTTAACAGTGACTAAACACTGTTAACAACATTTGTTCGGAATTATTTTTAGCTTGAACTCATTAAAAAACTGAAATTAATTATTTTGAGCTTTTAGTTATATATAATTTACACCTTTTTTTCATCTGATTAAAATGGTCATAAGCAATCTGTAAATAATTTATTTCTAAACTATATGAAAATAAATTTTGTTATTTTTACATGATTTCTTTAGAAACGCAATCTTTTGATATCTTTTTAGGTTCCACAAGTAAAACTTAAAAATAAATCTGGTACCAAAAACGAACCACCAAGTAATTATACTCCAAAAGAACCTGCTTTAATATCAGGTTCTGCTGAAGACAAATATATGATAATTGAAAATGCTCTAAGGAAGCAAATAGAGGTAATAACAACACTGCTAATTGTTACATTTTGACTACCATGTTTTATTTTAATGACACATGGTACATGACACTTAAGTTAATGTAGCAATTACTGCAATACTTAAAATTAGTGGAACTGTAAATTATATATTAACTTAGACAAATTTTTTCGTTTTTTAGTTTATAAAAGTTTAAATGTTTTTATTTATAATTTAAAATATTGCTCATTTTTTATACTTAGGCTTCTGAAAAAAATGCTGAACATTATAAATTATTGGGTAACTTAGATGCTGCAAAAAAGTAAATTTTCTATATTTATTACCTAAGGGCTTAAATTTAAAATCTTTTGTTCAAATTTTTGATATTTTATTGTTTTAACACTTTTTTCATCAAAAATTTGTTTTACAGTTTTGAATCATTACTAAAAAGTTCAAAGAAAGATTTAGAAACACTTTTACAGTACAAAGCCCAAGGAAGCATTGTACCTAATTGTGAATATCAGATGCAATCATTTCCAATAGTAAGGTAGTCCATGATTTTGCAATCATGTTTTTACATATTTTGTTAAATTTTTTATTTTTAAAGTTTATTTTTTTATTATTATTATTTTATTTATATTTGTTAGGTCTAATCCACACTTGAGTGACTCAGAAATGGAAATTAATATCATTCGATGCATAAATGTTCCAATGCCAGCTGGTAAGCTAAAGTTTGATAATTTAAAAAAAAAAATTTAAAACTTTTTATAAATTTTTATTTTAATTTAAGGTTGGCAGCCAAAAGATATGCATATCTATGTCACATTTGAGTTTCCAATACCTAAAGTACGTTTTTTAGTAATTTTTTTTTGCAAAATAGATTTTTTTGAAAAAATAAGTTTTATTCACTAAAGCTTTACATGTATATGTTATTATATGTTGAAAAAATAAGTTGTACTAAAAAAATAGTGTTACATATACATGTTGATACATAAAAAAAAAAATTGTATTTATTAAAACACATTGTTTTGTTACATAGAGAAAGTTTGTGTACCTAGGACCTGATTTTTTCAAAATGGTGTGTAGCAAAATTTTTCCTAATTAAGATATAAATACCACATTGCTATCACATCACTGTAAAGTATACTAATTCGTATCAGATAACTATGCAAACAGTTCTGAACATTAAGTAACACAGTTTGATTGCAAAACTTATAAAAATAACAAAATTGACTGAAAGTTCTGAGCAAAATTGATAAATAAGTGTATGTGTAAAATGGAGCCTATGCGTAAAATGAAGTCTAAGCATAAAATCAAGTCTACGTGTAAAATGGAGTCTACGCAAAATGGAGTCTATGTAAAATGGAGTCCAACAATATAATATACAAGAACCTATAGAAATGCATTGCTTCTAGGATTGTAAAACGATATATATAGTATCAAAACTAGTTTAATCAGGTGTACCTTAAATTTACAATTATATGTTCTTGCGATTTAATGATGTAAGACTTGAAACATTTACAGCTGTAATTGCAAATAAAAAATATTTGCAATCATCATTTATGAATATTTATACAGAAATATGAAGTATACATTATACAGTAATATGAAGTAAATACTAAAATAAAATTGTTAAAAATCAAGTAATATATATATTAAAATGAGTTTTGGTAAGGTTATTGAATAGTTGATAATTTTTAACTAATTTAATTGTTGATCATAGTTCATTGTATATTTTGGCACCCATAAAATAAGAATCAATCTGGTAGCTTAATCACACCAAGTTGGGACATGTTCTGTAAATGGTTGTATGGGTATGTTATCTAGCAAGAAGTTGCTTTAATTGTATTTTCAAGTAAATGTTGCTCAGTGTCAACCTTTCCTTTACTAATGATATTTTTTATTCGTATTTGAATACAGGTGACAGATTATAGATAGTGTAGAACCTTAAAGAATGCCAGATTTAGTTTTGAAGATGTATGGTCTATTTTTCTGTTTACTTCAGCTACATGATCTCAATTAAAGAGAATACCATATAAAGACAGTTTGTTGTGTCATTAATACACCAAGATTGACAAGATAGCAAGTTTAGATTTAACTGCTTTTTCTCTAAAGTTTTTGGTAAGTATAGCAGATGTTGGGCAGATACTAGTTGAGTAGATTATCATTAAGCTTACGTTTTTTTTTCTTTCAAAAGTTGCTCTTTTTGAAAATTACTATATTTTGATATTAAAATCTTGAATTTTTTGTTTCATTAATATTTTTGCTGAACATGTGGTCATTTTTTTGTTCAAATAAATTAACATGCATTCTGTCATCACAAAAATTAGAAATGTTTTTCAAAAATTCTTTGCTAAAAATGGCTTTTAAAAAGAAATTGAGAACTAACAAGCAAAAGAGATTACTTATCCTTGAGACTACTTGTCCTTGAGATTACTTATCCATGACTGCATCTAAATCTAATATAATCTTAACAAATTTCAATATCGTCTAAATAAATTTCAAATCTCAGAGTTTCTCAGAAGCTTTTTTTATTACAGGATTTAATTAATTTCTGGACTCAATTTTAAAAATAATTGTATTTTTTTAAACCATAAGTTATCTAACCATAATAGTGGCTTAAAAAACATAAAAAACCAATAACAAATTTAAAACAAAAGATTTCGGGAATTTACAAAACTAGTAATTGTAGAAGATAAAACTTGAGAACAGCAAATTAATTATTTTATTGTTTTGTTAAAATTCAGAATACAGATAGTAGCAAATATTTAAAAGTTGCTTGCTTATAATCTGTTTGTTATATAATTATGTAATAAATATTATTATGTCAAGCAATAAACATTATGAAGTCATGTAAACAAAAATTTTTTAAGATTTAATACAATTATAGATATATGAGTAGCTTAATAATTACAGTAATTTAGCTATGGTATACTAATATATATAATTTTTTTATATATAGTTATTATATATAAATGTAAAATTCAAGTTTTTCAGTTCATTGATTGTTCGTAAAATTGTTCATTAGATCTACATTTAAAGATAAAATTTTGAATATGTGTTATTGGAACCCAGAAAATGTCTTCATTATGCGACCAAGTAAGTTTGACCAAGTAAGTTGTTTGAGGAAAAAGATTGCTATATGCATTTAAAATGGATTGACTCTCTTCACATGTTTTAATAATGTTGCTTCAAAGTCATTTTACATCAGTATTACATACTTTATAAATTCTTGGAGTTAAAAAAATTCTTGGTGTAAGCATCTGGCATTTTATGGGTTTGCTGCATTGTATAAAGATTTACATTTCTATAAACTGAATGATACTTTTCTCATCTGTAAAGTAGTCAGTGATAGTGTTGTAAGTTAACATTTCTTGTTTCTACAAAAGTTGAACAATTGTTAAATAATGTTGCATAACAATGGTTGAACAGTAGTTGAATAATGTTTGATAATGTTCTTATTTAACATTTGTACAAAAATTCTTTTGAAGCTTTTTCTACTCCATTCAAACAATTTTTTAGATAAATTTATAGAATCTTTTAGTGTTTCTAGACTTGCTCTTGCTACAAATGGCTTGGGAGAGTATTTAACACACAGGAGGACATTTGATGGCATTTTCATTACTAACAAAAAAATATCATTACAGATAACTCACAATTTTATCATTAAATGTTTTTGAATTAAAAACTCACGCCATTAATAAAATATATGCAATTGTTGAATTATGATTAAATGCAATAATGTATCAAAGTTGTAGCTCTTCTAGAAGTTTTAAGTATGAGTTTGTATTGTTTTAATCTTTCAATATTTAATGTGTGCAGTCTGAAATATCTGGTATTTTTATTGATTTTGAATTTTAGTGATACTTGCAGTTCATAATAAATCAAGACCTAAAGCACTTTTTGGTTTAAGTTTTTAAAGTTTAGAAAACCTAGTCTTCAATTTTTTAAGGAACTTTAAGTCCAATTCCTTTATATTAACTAAAAAAAAGCCTCTTTTTTAATGTATTCTTTTACTATTATTTTGGATTGAAACATGCTTTTTTCTTTCCTGTTCATATTTGAGAGTACTTGTTCAATCGGTAGAAATCATAAATTTTTTAACTAACAATTCTTTTTTTTTTTTTTTAGTCTGAGTCTGTCAATATGCTTATCATTTTTTAAAAATGTTTTTTTTCTTTTTTTAAATTGCGTTTTTTTTTTGATGTTGTTACAAAAAGATAAATCATTAAATAAAAGTTTAACTTTCAGATAAATCATTAAAGCTATTTATTTTTAAATACTTTTTAATTTGAATTTTGTGTTTGTTAAATGGATTAAATCAAAAATTTCTATTATATCAAGTCTTCTATCAATGTAGATCTTTTCGTATTGACTAAATGGATTTATTGATTAAATGGATTAAATCAAAAATTTCCATTATATCAAGTCTTCTATCAATGTAGATCTTTTCGTATTGACTAGAAATGGTTTGATTATGATTTACTTTAATTGCACAAGTTATTGATCTTTTTCTGTTAATTCTTTTACCAAATACATTTGTTTTTGGTAAATTTTACTTCATTATTGTTTATTATTTTCCTAAATTACTTAATGTTGTATACCAAATTATAAACTTAGTGGAAAAAGGTTTTCTCAGTGATATACATTTGTTATCAAAATGTTAACATGAAATGCTATCAAAATGTTTGATCAGCTTTTTTGTTCTGTTTTTTTATCTAATTGTTTTTGCCTTTGAGACTTCTATACTATAATAAAGCAACTTTGAGACTTCTATACTATAATAAAGCAACTTTGAGACTTCTATACTATAATAAAGCAACTTTGAGACTTCTATACTATGTTAAAGCAACTTTGAGACTTCTATACTATAATAAAGCAACTTTTCTTAGAGAAGTTAAACTCTGATATAAAATTTCTAATTCAGCTATGGGTAAGGGAAAGAGGGGCTCATAAACCTTAAACGGTAATATTTCTAATAATTGTATTGCAATAAAGATATTCAGCCCTGATCTGCAAAACAGGAAAGACATCTTTTATTATTATTATCAAACACCTTAGTTTGTTTGATAATAATATTAAGACGATTCACTAATGAGCTAAGGTTTTCTGAAGCCAACAGAATCATGTTTCTGCAGCCAACAGAATCATGATTCTGCAGCCAACAGAATCATGATTCTGCAGCCAACAGAATCATGATTCTGCAGCCAACAGAATCATGATTCTGCAGCCAACAGAATCATGATTCTGCAGCCAACAGAATCATAATTCTGCAGCCAACAGAATCATGATTCTGCAGCCAACAAAATCAGTGTTTGAAAAAGGTATATAAATCAGCATAAAACATGGTAATAAAATATTTGATATTCAAGTCATAAAACTTTTTAGGGTATTATAGTTAATATCGTTTTATGATGGTTCTATTATTCTATTTTCAGCATTATCTTTTATTCTTTTTTGAGCATTACAAAAATGTAATAATATTATAATAATGATAGTCTAATAACCAATATTTAACTGAAAACTTATATTTTAACTGAAAACTTATATTTTAACTAAAAACTTTTATTTCCAGGAAAAACCTCAGACTGGTTGCACAACTACTAAAAAAGACACCATTAATCCAGGTAATAAAAGTGATACCTGCAAAATAAAATAAAGCCTAAAAAAAGACACCATTAATTGGTGTCTTTTTTCAAGATGATAAAAATAATGCCTGCAAAATAAAATAAAGCCTAAAAAGACACCATTAATCCAGATAATAAAAATAATACCTGCAAAAAAAGACATAATTAAGCAATATTTTATTTCAGAATTTAATGAATCTTTCAAAGTTGCAATTGACAGAAAAAACCAAAGTTTTGTAAGATTATGTAAACGCCAATCATTGGTTGTTAAAGTTAATCATGTCAGGTAACCATTCCTGTTTTTTTATTTTGTTTTGTTTCATGCAGGTGGTGATCTAGCATTTCTTATGGGAGACACCTGATTTTATCACATCCCTTTTTATTAGAATAAAGGGTTATCAATTAAAGCAGAGCATTGCTTAATATATGCAATGAATTTTGTATTTACTTGTTTTTTTGTTTTTTTGCTATGTTATCTTTTTATTATTAAATTAATTAAAATGTTATTTACAAATTAGATATGTAATTCTTGTCTCACTTAACATTATCTAACACTTAACTTGACCTTTTCTGTAATACTTGTCTCACTTAACATTGTCTAACACTTGACCTTTTCTGTAATACTTGAAACTTCTGACTCACAAATATACAGCTGCAGTTAGCATGTCATGATATATGTCATACAGGTTTTGTATCCTCAAAGGATTGCATTTTCAAATAAGTTTAAAAAATAAGAAATATTTTTCACTTGGTCAAAAAGATTTTTAACCTTTTGAATGAAGCCTTTATTATCAATTTGCAGATTTTGTATAATTTGGAGTAATCAAAGCACTTTGTTGTCTTCAATTATAAGTCATTGATTTGAAATTTTTTTTTAGCAACTATTTATAATAAAGTACAATTGCATCAGTTGCTACAAGTTTTTTGAAAAGTTTGTTAAAATCTAAATTAAGAAAATATTTTTTATCATCAAGTTTGTAGATAGTAGAGAAGCTTCTGTTGTTATAACCTTTGACATTTTTTTTTCATGGTTGTTGGTTTTTTAATATCTTAAAGTTTTGCTATTTTTTAATTATTTTTTATATTTTCTAAATTTTATATATATATATTTTAAACTTTACTTATTTGTACAAGAATTAAAAAAAAAAAACCTAGCAAGTGCGTGTTAAGGTTTTAAATTTTTTGCTTTTTTTTTTTCAGTTTTTATAAAAAAGTATAAATTCTTGAATCTTTACCATTGTGTATGGAGTCAACTTTTTCAAATAATAAATTCAGTTGTTTATTGATCAAGTTTGCTTGTAACTTGTGCAAACTATCACATGCAACCAAATGTGATTTTTTATTTTTGAAACAATTTTATATATTTTTGAAATGTTGTATTTTTGAAATGATTTTAACAAAAGTTAAACTAAAATTTTGTTCCTAAAATCTTTTTTTTATATGGTTATATTTTTTAAATATCTTTTAACTTCTATTAATTTTTGGTTAATAGAGCACACACATCTCTTTTAAAAAATTTTTTTTATAAAATTTTTTTAAATTAAATACTTGATTTTTCTTATTTATAGAGGTTTCCTAAAAGCAGACAAAGCAATTGGACAAGGCTTCATAAAATTAGAGCGCTTCTCAAACAGATGCGAAATTCATGAGTCTGTTGATGTAAGTAAAAGTTTTTTTATACAATTAATTTATATATGACTTTTTGACTTAATGATGATGTCCATATTGGCTAGGTGATGATGACTTAGACATTTTACCTGCCATTGTTTTTCCTCTTGAATGAGTCAATTTTGCAGCAAAAACTTACCAACAAAATTTAACTTTTTTTTACTGTTAAAGTTTACTTGTAAACATACTGATTAACATAAGAGATTGAACTCTTTTTATTGCAATGAAAGGTGCAATTTTAAGGCGCTTATATTATAAAAATCTTATAGAAATCTTAGATAAAAATCTTATAGAAGTAAAGAGGGTATGCTCAATAGGGTATACTTTCAATACAATACAATAGGGTCAATACAATACAATACAATACATACATACAATACAATACCTATTCAATACAATAGGGTCATACTTTCGAAAAATTTTAAATTTAAAAAAAAAACAATTTGGGGAGTGATTTTAATATGTGGCAGGTATTTTTAAGCAACATTGAAATAAAACTTTAAAAAAAAAGTTTTTTTTTTTGGGTAAAAATGAACATGAAAATTGTGATATTTAAATAAATAACGTTAAAATGAAAACAATGGATAAAATTAAAAAAAAGTTATATATAATATATATTTTTTTAATTATTCACCTCCCCAAGGCCCGAGGGGGCCACTACAGTCGAGGAGGCTTTTTTTTTTTTTTTTTTTTTGTAAATCATGGTACAACCCTCTCTCAACTCTTTAACTCCGAAACACGAACCTTGACAAGCAAGGCCGCTGCGCGGAAAAATTAAGTTGAGCGTGGTACTTCCAGTGGTGGGAGTCGAACTCCAAACCTCTCGCCTACAAAGCGAGCGCTCTTACCACTACACCACTACCGCATGAATACCATATAAAATATAATATGCCTATATATATATATATATATATATATATATATATATATATATATATATATATATATATATATATATATATATATATTGATTTGAAAAATTACTGTTTACAATACTAAAAAACCAAGCAAATTAGGTAAAAATTAGAGTTTTAATTTAGATTTGTATATAAACACCCACAAATTTTTTTTTTATGTTTTACATGGCATCTTCAGCCATTTACAACTCTAAACTTAAGTTTATATTTATTCTTATGTCAAATTGGAATGTTTGCATCAATGGCACCAATTAAAGTCTGGAAATAAAAACACCGAAATAATTTGCTCATCCGTTTAAGTTTATTTGGCCTCATGAGTGAGGGTGTTGAACTCTGAAAAAGTAAAAATTAAAATATACTTGAAATTTAAAACCTGCAGATAAATTTCCTGAAATTGTTATATGTGAAACATCAAAATTTTCTGTGGACACATAATTACATAAAATTAAAAAAAAAACATATTTTTATGGAAAATAAAGTTTTCTCTAAAATCAAGCTTAAACATCAACTAAACAGTTTAATTAAATCTTTCTTGTATTTCAGATTTGGAACAACATCTCTCTAATCTTGCTCTAATAAAACCATCACGTCTTTGAAAGCCATAAACAGCAGTTGCTGCTTCAGCCACTTGTTTAACAACTCTTTCACAAGTGTGAAGAGGATAATAAGGTACTTCCATAGGAGAATCTATTAATTTTTGTAAATCTTTTTTTGTCATATTACTTGTAAAATTTGGCTCCAAGATTTGCTTGTTACTCCAGTCAATGAGTTCAAGGAGAGTCATAGCATCAAAGTTAAGTGTAGGTTTTTTTCAGTTTCTTACACTTACATCACCTTGCTCTGAATCTCCTCTTACTTTCATAATCATCTTGACAAGAAACTAACTTGTAGCTTAGTGAAGCATCAGTGAATTTTAACCAAAGGTTCTATTTGGTTTAATTTTTTATAGTCATTTTAATTAATTTACTTTTGATAATAGTTTGCCTATAGGCCCTTTAAATCCATTCTTATAGTTTGTAGGTCCATCAAGATTTGCAACAAGGTGTCTTAAAGGTAGCTCATTGGTATGTAACATGCAAATAGACCAAAAACATTTTCTTTCAATAAGTTTCTCCAGGTAAGTTAATAATCCGCCATTGTTACCAGATCCAGTCATTGAATTTGTAAAATCTTATTCAATCACAATTATAGTTTGATTAATTCCTTTAGGAACCATCCAGTTATAAAGACCGACGGAAGCTTCTTTAGCTGGTTTGTTTAGACCCTTTGAAGGTGTGTAATGGGTCAAATATCTTCCATCTGGTTCAGAAGTAACACTTATGTTTTCTTGCTTTTCTGTTCTCAGTAGGATCTTATCTACCATTTACAAATCTTTGAGAGGAGATTTGAGACGAGCTTCAATAAGTTTTTCTTACAAAACTCTAGTTTTAGAGTTTTTTTTATAACCTCTTGATTGCTCTCCAAATTTTTTTAGGTTCACATGCTGAACTAGCCATATTTGGAGTCAAGTAATTTGATTTGATCAAATCTTGAAGGAAAGCAGATACAATTGCAGATGTAGCAGCAGGAGATATGTCAAATCGAAGAGATGCTAGTGCTGTATTAAGGATTTTCATATAATTCTGTTTAATGGTAATAAATAGGGAAGTTTTTTGTTTGATATTATTGGTCTTATGAGGATTTAAGTCGTGACCCACTGATTAATAAACTTTATCTTCAATGTTTTCGATTTAAATCTGTGCATTTATATGAGGTTTTTTAATCAAATAATTTTTTAATGACTGTACACTTACATTAAATTTTAATTACATAATCGATTACTTGAAATTAAAGAATTAATTGTAAATCTTTGATGCGTAGATGAAATTTGAGTTCCCAAAAATTTGACTAATTCTTATATTCTCAATCAGACTTTCTTGTTAACAATCTTGTTATAAAAATTGTTTAATAAAAAAGTTAAAAAATTATTTATTTAATTATTGTTCTCTATGTTTGTTTTCTTTTTTAATTCCTTAAAAGCTTGAAACCTAATATTATTTAATATAGAGGAGTTCCTTAAAACACTTACAAAGCAAATACTACAAAACTAATTACTAAAACAAATAATTTTTAAAAAATAAAAATGTTTCTTTTT